ATGGATGGATGGATGGATGGATGGATGGATGGATGGATGGATGGATGGATGGATGCAAAGTCTGAGACAGTACGACAACGGGTTATGAGGTAGACGGTGTTTGTTAAAAATCATTCAAATCAGTTTCTAAGCTTCATTAAAATTGTTTTGGGGTCATTTCTCCTACTTGTTTAAAAAAAACCTCAACTTTTAGATTGCAAAACGAACTAGAGGGTTCCCACTCCTACATGAATAAAGGCAGGGGATCGGGGTGAGGAGCTTACATGGTCTTATCAACTCAATGACGAAGTCGTTTTCCAAAAGCAAAACATCTAGTTTCTGTTAATTTATTTGTTGGGTTTTTGCTTTGTTTGTTTGTTTGTTTGTATGCTGTTTTTGTTTGCTCGAGTGAAAAGAAGCTCTTCAACACTATTACAGTCAATCATTGCGGAGAAAAAGGAACAAAAAATGACAGAAACAACAGAGGGAAAGAAAAAAGTAGTAGCTTCTAGTGGCGACTTCCAACTATCCACAACAAGTCATAGACCTACTATATTCACACTCTATTGGAATGGAGCAATAACTCTTGAGAGAAAAGTGACACATGTGTTCCCAAGTTGCCAAATACATAATAGATGTACAGATTGATTCTCTATTCTGCTTTCGAGGTTGTACATTCCATAATTTCAAAAGTTTGGAATGAGTGCGCACGGCTAGTGAACGGAGACTTCACTTTACAATGGCGTCTTGGAAGACGAACTTTCCCCAAGATTAGATCTGAACGAAACTAAAGAAAAACTGAAACTTAAACTACAGTGACTTTAGGCTCCTAAACAAAACTGCACCCTTTAAATGGTTCTGAACCACCATTTATTTTGTCAAATTCGAAAGTTAAATGGTTCGGATGTTTTAGTCAGCCAAAGTGACGAACTTTCACAAATATAATATGTATAGATAAGTACGCAAATCAATACAGATTGAGAGAGGAGGGGAAAACTGTAAATGAAAGGAGCCCGTGAAAGAAGAGATGACGCTGCAAATGAAAGAAACCCTCGAAAGAGGGCAATAAAACGAAACGAAGGGAGTACGTCTGACTCACGGACAGAGCTGGGGTCGAAGTTGTGGGGGTTAATGTTCTGGTAGATCGGCGGGACCTTTGGCTTCTCCAGCGTGCCGCCTATGGTGCCGGCGGTGAAGTCGAAGGAGCACTGGGGCTTCTGGCAGCAGGTGTCCGCCGGGTCCGTCACCATGTGGCAGATGGGCGGCAGTTGGCTCTCGTCGAAGCGCGGACATCTGGGGGTAGGGGGTGGAGTTGGGTGTTTTTTTGTTTTTTTGTTTTTTGTTTTTATAATATTTTAATAATATTTTAATTCTATGTTTAATTTGTTTTTAGGGTTTTTTAAATATATAATATATACATATACATTCTCCATTTCGTGGAGATTTTTTTTTGTTGCGATTATTGTGGTCATTCTACCGGGATGTTGTATACCTTTCAGCCCAGGTTGGTCCTGAAAGGCAGGATCGACGTCTGCCTCCTAAATGATCTTAATCGCGTTGATGGAGGTGCAAAACATCTACCTTAAATAAGCTTTTTAAAACTACATATGTGAGGCAGCGTGGTGGAATCAGGCTCTCGTCAAAATAATTAAATCAAAGATATTGGCATTTTTCTACCCGTTTGGCAATTTTTATCAAATTTTTGTTTTTAAGCTCAACAGCTTTTATGTCCATTTAAAAACTCATTTCTGTGTGGATTATCCTGAAAAACATTGATTAAAGGTACAAAAAATGTAAATTTTCAATCTTCAAGGGCTCTCACGCATTGAAAGATTCCAAGCTTTGGCGGTCATTTTCTCCCTTATTTTTCCTCTAAAATCAGGTTACTCTCCTACTTCAATCAAAAATATTTTGACTTCTATAAAAAAAAACAGATGGGCACTTTTTCCACCGAAAGATAAACAAATAAACAGGCTTTAAGATGACACCAATAACTCCACATACCCAAAAATTGACGAGTGCCTGATTCCACCACACTGCCTCACACATCACTTTGATTAAAACCTGTCCTTACCTGGGTTGGCAGTTTTGTTTACCCATGAGCTGGTCGATACAGGTACACTTGAAGTCACAGTCCATGTACCAGACCTCGTCTTGCTTATAATTCTTGCTGTTGTAAACACAGAAGTCTGGGGATAGGGAGAAAAATTAATGTTAGAAGTTGAGAAGTTGAAGACATAGAATACATAGCAACGTCTAGATCAAATCTGAACTTACGTATGCTATCGTGAACACCTAAAAAATAATATAGTGGTCAATTAATTAAGGGATACGTGTGGATGGGGATGGCACACCTTAATATCAACTTAAAATCACAGACACGAATATACAGAGTCACCAATTTGCATCGTTTTCTTGAACTCTTCTTTTAGCTTCCAAAGCCTATGAGGTCACTTCTCACCCCCTCCAGATTTAATACAGATTATATTAAGAGGGCTGGTGAACATGCAACTGAACCAAGTGAGGTACCTTGATAGTTTTACAAAGTCTATCACACACTTTTTTTCCCCACCCCCCACATTTTGAAAGGAAAAAAAAGGGATATCTATCGGTAACACGTGTGTCTTAATTGGCTTCTGCGGAAGAATGTTTAATGTATTACTGTTGTAGGATGGTAGGTAAAAAAAAGTTATTTTGATGCTGGGTCAAATACGTCTGATTTCTGGTTTTCCTGGTAAAAAACATTTTCAGCCATTCCTTGCTGGAGGGATAAATCTGAAGTGCTTTGGGGGCATTTCTGTTGTTTCTGTCAGTCTCTCTTGCTTTATTCAGCACTGAAGGGTTATTGTGCCTCTTTTTAGTTATCTCACACACGCAATCATTCTCAAAGCGGTGTTCCAGCGTTTTTGGCGTTCCAGTCTTGATAGTCTTCGCCATTGTACACAGAAGAAGTGAATTTGATTCCGGTGTGGTGAAATGTATGATTTTATCCTGTATTTCCATCGGGGGGGGGTTTCTTTTGGAATGCTGTATCCCACTCGACCTGACTTGACCCTCATGGGTAGAACCAAAGCCTCCCATCTTAAAGATCTGAATTGTGTTGATGGCGTTCATATGACCTTATGCAGTTACGAGCGCCGTAAAACCTCTACTAAAACTTTTTTTTTAAATTGTGTTGATGGGAGCGTAAGCGCTGATATTCAGGGAATAGAGGTATGTATACACCGAACGAAAGCAAAGAGACTGGGCATTGCAGACACCCAGCACCAACTTGGAACCCGTGACCTCCAAATTGCTTTCGGTATCACGCGCGGCCATATTACTTTTACCAATCCTTTCTCAGTCTAAGAGGGTGACTGGCGGGCACCCTGGTGTAGTTTACTCCTTCCTTCATGTCAAACATCTATCGCAATTACCTCTCCTACTTTTCTTTTAATGATAATATTCACAAGTAACACCTCTAATCTTCGGCACGTATATAACTTATCAAATGTTACTAGTGTCGTAATACTTTCTAAAAACTAAACAAACAAAAAACATTTAAACCCGATGCTCAACCCCAACTCACTGGTTCCTGGGGCGGCGGTCACCTCGAATCCCCCGCTGGGCAACTGCACAGGTTGTAAGGGGTTCTGCGTGGTGTCGTCAGGGGCGTGGCAGATGGGGATCTTACAGCAGGGGTCGCTGGGGTCCTCCACATACTGGCACGTCTCCGTGGGCAGGTTGTAGTACTGAGGGCATCTGGCGATTGGTTCATCGATTTATTGATTGGTTAATCGTGGTGTAGATAGATAGATAGATAGATAGATAGATAGATAGATAGATAGATAGATAGATAGATAGATTGATTGTCTCTCCCCTCCTTTCTCCACACATAATTGTGTATTGTAAGTTTTGCTTCTCCATTTCCTCTTTCTCTTCTTTGAAAAAAAACTGAAGGAACCCAAACAATAACTACAGTAGATAGATAGATAGATAGATAGATAGATAGATAGATAGATAGATAGATAGATAGATAGATAGATAGATAGATA